CAGGCTCCCCGGTGAGCAGTGTCCGACACTTTATACATAAAATGCTTACTTGTCAAGTTTTAGACAAGCTGTAATTTCTTATGTCCTGATTTTCAGGATTAGGAATTTTAAAAAAAAGCTAACAGAAAATGGAATTGTACTCAGTAAATCACCACCTCATCTCTTATTCAGAGATCTTCACTGGTTTGAGTCATTGGTCATTTAACCTGGAATTCTGCTCAACCACCTTTAACTCTAAACTTCTGCAGGTTTTTAGTACCATGGAAAAGCCATATTCCATTGCTTTTCTTTAAATTAGCATATAGAGAAGTTAGTACAGTCTTTGTCAGTGGTCCAGGACAGGCATACCTGTGTTCTTGAAAAGCACGTAGTCAGTCCCTTGATTGTACCTTTTTTGGGGGTTAGATAAGGGTGAGGGTGGAGGAAGGATGGCTTGAGGGATGGGTAGCTAGAGTTGATTATCTTTCTAAACCTTACCGTCATAAAAATAGAACACTTAGATCTATTTCCCATATGATCTAATGCTACAGACCTATAATTGAAAGATTTAAACATTTTAAATTTAAAATTTCAAAATTTAAAATTGATTATCGTTATATAATCTTAAGGACACAAATACATATTAAGCCTTTTTTTTTTCCATTCTTTTCAGCACTCACCTTTGCCCTGGGCACTCTTCTTGTATGTGTTTCTATATATCTCTATGGATTACCCAGACAAGACACTACATCCATCCAACAAGGAGAAATAGCTTCAAAAGAGAGAGTTGGTGGTACGTGATTTCAGCCTCAAAAGAGATTCCTACCAAGACTAAAGAAACTATCTGCATTAAACTAGAGCCTTAAGTCAATCCCAGAAGGTAGCTTAAACAAAAAAACAATATGTTAACCGTGTCATAAGAACTAAGAGGAAAACTATCTGAGTGAATTGCTACAAAGACTTAATATGGCCTGTTTTGGGTCAAGCTGTTTTGTTTTAGAATGAAAGAATTTTACTATTGTACATATAATGTATATAAAAAGTATGGAGAGGTGTGGTGTTTAAAAAAAAAAAAAATCACGTGAGGATACAATATTCAAGTAACAAGGTTTGGGACAAGGTTAAAGGTTCAAGTGCCAAAGCCATTTCTGTACGAACTGTTTTCTTGTTCTGGTACCAGGGGAGAAGGACCATTCCCTCCTTGTTCTCCAATTCATGTACAGTATTTCATCCCAGCAGCAGTAATGACCTAGCTCTTTTCTTACAAAAGACAGGCAAAACCAAGATAGGCTAGTTCAGAAGCAAACTGAATGTGTAACTTCTCAAACTGAATCTATTTCATAATGCGGACAATGACTTCTAGGTGGTGAATGAGTACTTCTGTAAGTGCTGTATTTGTGCCATTCATTGTCTGGATTCATGTTTCTTTGCGGTTAGATGATCTACTTTTCTTCAAAAAATATTTCTAATGTCACTTTTGTACTTTTTTTTATACAGTATGTTTAAAACTATTGGGCTGTCAATTTGTGAAATTTCTGTGTTTTTAAAAAATTTTCTATAATGTTAATGGGAAAATTCAGCAATAAACTTAATTTATTTATATGAAATCTGTATCACTTTTTGTATTGTGATTATAACCATTAAGATAATGCAAAATGTAAAACAACCAAAAATATTAAATTTTTCATTTTTTCTGTGTTGGAATTTTAGGGTTCTTTGGTTGCATATAAACCAACTCTGGGCTGGTCTTCGTCAGTGAAAACCGGAGTTTATAAGGACGGCAATCGGGGCAGTAGGGCTCTAGGCTGCAGGAGATAATGTACAGTCTTTTCAGGGAGCTGCTTCTGCAGACACTAGGCCCTAATCTTCACTGTCCCTATGTCATTTCACTCAAGATTCAGAGGGGTGAATTCAAATGAGGTGGCTACCACAGATCTGGATATGATCTCCAAACAAGTGGAGAAGGATACAGGACATGAAAAACATGTCCCAATTGTACATTTTTATTCCGTGGCTGGTTTGTGCTAAGGAAATAATGATACTTTGAGTAAAAATTAGTAATCTGGAAGCTACATATTTAAAATTGAGACTGCGTGGATGAGTCTTTTCTAGGACTAAGAAGGTGTACCACTTGCCAATATAAAACTATCTTCATTCAACTACAGAAGTGTTGGTTCATGATAATTTCCTTCTCTATTCGTAAAAGTAGATTGTCACTAATATTCAGAAGACTTCTAGTAGCAGCATTTACGATAAGTGATAGCAGTCTGAATGGGAATACTGGCAGATGAGGATGGCCATACTGACTGAACAGACCACATCAACTTATGTTACCTGAACAAATCACACAAAATATCCCTGACCAATATGCAGGTACACGGAAGAGATGGCTTAAGAAATTCCATTTCAAATTATGGTTTAACTGATGGGACAAATTTTTATAAAAAGATCCTAGTATAATATGTGTACAAATAATTCCCTGTCATTCAAATCTATTCCGTTCCCAAGTTCATGCAGTAAGAGTTACCTTTACAGATCAATGAAAGAAAAGTATGAGATCTGTTCTCTGGGAGTGGCTGTCAGCTGTATAGGCAAAAAGGCTTAATTCAGTCTCCCTAAATTGATTCAGAGCCAGCCATTATTATAAGAAAACTGAAATTGCTTTTATCAATTTTATCTGATGCAAACATGAGATAATCTCACTTACAAGAACAGTTTCTGAAAGAATGATGCTGTGAAAACCTCAAGCTGGAGCTTAAAATCTAATCTTTTATCCCCAATAGACTGCAATGAATTTTAAAAGTTTTGAGTTAGTTTTATAAAACTGTTTTGTACTTACTGATCAGGAGGGAACTCAAATGATTTTTTTTTTTAGATAAAAGAGTTAATAAGTTGATAAATCACTTAGGCTTACTAAAATATAGATTCTGATACAGAATAACAGTTTAAATTCTAAACAAGGCATCTAAGAATAGATAACTAGAATTCACTTCATATTTAGAAAGCTATTTTAATTAGAAATTACATCCTACATACAGGTATTATTCCAAGAAGTTTCATTCCATTGGCTAGGACAGAACGCACAGCTCTGAAAAGATGAAGTCTCGCCTAAGAAATAAAACAAAGAATGATTAAATTCACTAACAGGCTAATTATAAGTGAATAAAGAACATTTTCAAAAGTAATTTTAACTTTCTTCTAATTTAAAGTAGGAACAGTATCTCAGAGTGCTTCAGGGTTTGCTGTTGGTGAGGAAAGACAAATTCCTAGCATCCCTTATAATATGACTGGTACCCAAGAGCTGGGGAGTGAGAGTGACAGGATCATTCATTATCTTATTCAAAGTCTAACTTCAGATAAGGGGAACTCTTCACTTGAACACTTGACCTAGGAAGATGTGTTTCATAGTCCAGTGTTGGAAAGTATATAAACTGATTGTTTCAGTCCAATTCTAATTACCACTTGAGTCCATAAGAACACTACTGTAGCTGAACCACAAGATGCTATTTTAGGAACACTTACAAAATTGACTCAGTAATATTAAGAGGATGTAGAGATTACACAGAAAACACTTGACATACCCCAGCCACTTCGGGAGGACTGTCTTTTATAAGCAGTGTCTTGTGTGCCATAGCTGCAAGATGACTGAAATGGAAGACAGACCAGAGAAGATGAAAATGAAGACCAGTAGCAATTTCCTGTTATAACACATAACCTTGGTATCTTACTCCCTCAACTTAAGGAAATCAAAGCCCAGGGCCAGTAAAGGATGTGTGCAACACTGAAAGTTGAGACTTGAATTCATCTGCTTTTCTATAACAGGAAAAGTAAAACACATTAAACTCCAACTTTAGATTTTGGTTGTAATATCTCAAGAACTTAAGATTATGATTTCACTCCTTCATAAAGATAGGGGATTCCTTTCTAAAAATTAGTTTTTCTCATTCAGGTATCTTTTAGGATGAAAGCTATAACATGGCATGGACATTCCCCCTCTGTACGGTGAGGAGGAAGGGTAAAGATTAGTTATTGGGCAGCTGCACACACACTGGCCCCTCTTCTCTAAAGTATCTCTTCTATTTAGGTAGAAGCAGCAAACAGAATAATATGCCAGAGAAATGATGCTTCCAACATTAATTTCAATGATTAACAGACATTTAATTAGACTTTCTGGCTTCTTTATTTCTCTGTGACTATAGAGTTTAAAGGAAAAAAAAATACTTAAATCTGGGGAAGACAGGTAAAAAGGATAATCAAGAAAACAGTACCAATAAATCTGATTTCAGTAAATCTTGAGTAAAAGCAAGTATTTCCTTAAATAGGTTTATGGAAAGATACAAACATTGCTCTAGAAAATACCTTATAGTCAGAGCTTCTGAAACAGCTAGTATGAAATTCCTATTAAACTGATTTGCCCTCCAATTCATCCTCTACCCTTCTAGCTCACCGATTTTTCTGTGTCTCTATTCAAAGTCTTTTTATGGACTCCAATGCCCTGAAAATAAGCTGAAATGCCTTAATACATGCAAAAGGGCTTTATACACTAAAATTTCTCACCCCTCCCAGGACCATGCGTCTAGTTCCATTAATGTAGCATGAGCAAATCTGGGCTTTTTCTTCCTTTTCTGCCACCTTGCTTCTCCTGATTAATACTGATGCCTCTTCTCCGAGAAGCCCCTTCTCCTCCATCAAGGCTGCACTGAGTGCCCGAACATAGTCTCTTAGGTCCACTCTATCCTAACACATTTGTGCTGTTATGTAACTACCTGTGACAAAGCTGTTGGTTCCACCAGACTGTAATGACTGCACCTTGTATCACTGAACGAATAAATATTAACTGCTGATTTGCAAAGATGAAGCAAGAATTCCTTAATTCAACTTAAGGCATTTCACTTTTTAGGCCAAGGGGTTTGTTTATAGGAAAACTTTAGAAGAAAGAAAGGTCCTTTGTCAGATCAGGTCTCCCATGTCTTCAATACCTGAAAACAGCAAGGTTATGAAGTACCTTAGAGTTAGAAGATAACTGACAATGTGCCTGGGTTGAAGGTCCTGAGATGATCTATAAAGCACCTCGTCGAACCTAAAAGAAACACAACAGGAGCAGTGGGCAAGGGAAGACTAAGACTACTAAGCTAAGATGTTAAGATCTTCAATGTAAGGTTGACTAAACACCAGTAAGAGTAGAAGGTATGGGGTGCCTGGGTGTCTCAGTTGGTTGAGCATCTGACTCTTGGTTTCGGCTCAGGTCATGATCTTCGGGTGGTGAGACCGTGCCCTGTATCAGGTTCCATGCCCAGCATGGAGCCTGTTTAAGTTTCTCTCTCTCTCCCTCTGCCCCATGCGTGCTCTTGCTCTCTCTAAAAGAAGAGTAGAAGGTACATGAAAAAAGACCTTGTGTGCGTTTGAAGGTAAAGGCACATCTTTCTTACAAATCCCTTGATGGCAGGTACTTTCTAAATCATTTTGATATCTCTTGGGCCTAGCCTAGATCAATGACTCAGGCTATTAAATTGAACATATAAAGCTTACAGCCATGTTAGGAACATAATCTAGAAACTAGCAAAACAGAAACTAGCAAAACAGAGTCTACCTTCAATGCCAGAAAACCAGGTTGGCTTATTTTCTAACAAATCAGTCAAAGGTGAGAAAACGGACCCCTCTGATCCCAGAAGGGAGCCACTGACCACTGTGTGGTGATCAGAGAAAAGTGCCTTGCTAACTACCCACATCCTTTCCAGAGATTAGTATCTCCTGACAAGTCTAGCTTCACCAACAATGCTTGTAAGAGCTTAAAGGCGTGATCTCTTGCTCAGTGTCGGGGCACCAAGTAGGTATGTATTTGAGACTGTCAACGGAAACCATGAGGCAGATGAGGAACTCAACAGTTTCATGGAAGCCGCACGCAGGCAGAGGTTTCCTTCACTTGTCCAAGAGGGGGAGGAGAAGATGATCCTTCCCAAAACTAAAAGTTGATGCTTTTATCAGGTTTCCATTCTCATTCCATGACCCAGAGGATGTCAGGCACCTGCAGTGATTCAGCAGTGATATTTTTAAGTCCCAAGGACTGACCTTGACGGTGTCCTCCTTTGTCTTCCCTCAAAGGGCAGGTACTGGTGGCAGGGGGCCAGGAGCTAGCTACTGGCTTGTTCACGTCAGTGGTCAGCAAACCATCAACAGTCATTTCACTAAGCAGGTGCAGACTCAATAAGACTAGAAAATCATACCTGAGAAGATGCTGGAGAATGGAAACAGACTGTGGCTCTTGTAAACAAGCAGTGTTGAAATCATTTAGATAACCACATCCAAAAGTCTCTTCCAAACTGTTTTCAAAAGTTTAAAAACAATAAAGGATTAAACAAGTCATCCAAGGACATATAACTGCAAGTTTGTCACAATGCCTCAATTTTTCCTAACTCTGTTTCTCCCCCTGAAAATGGGAGCATATTCTCTGGCAGCGTTATTCTGAGTACTAAAGAAGGCAACATACATAAAAGCACCTCTGACAGAGATGCTCAGTAAGTATTTTAAAAACCAAACCTAACAGGTGGTCCACTATACTTCTAACTAGTTTTGGATGTGAGATATTGGAGAAGCCCAGCAAACAGGACCTTGGATCTTCAGAGCACACCAGCCCAGTCCCACCCTGGGGAGGCTCAGCGTTTCCCAGCAGATGCCCTTCACCTGTGGAGGCGGGCATGCGTGTACTGCAAGAAGACGCCTGTGTCCCCACGACTCTGGAAAACACGATCCCAGCTGAACTGATAGTCAGATAAGAGTAAACCTCTGAAGTCCTAGAATGACAAGAATACATTTTTAGCACTGGGGTTTGTTCTAGCAAACAGAAGGGTCTCACAGGAGGCAATCATAACAGACCTGAATAATGAGTGCGGCGAGTCCAACCCTCTCTGCAGTCTCCTGTGGGTTCTCCAGTTCTCTGGTGGCTGGAACAGACAGAGGCAGCTATCTTTAACTTACACAGAACCGCAGAGAATCAGGGATTCTGATAAAATCTGCCAAAAATATATGCTGCCAGTAAGAACAAATAGCTTCACGGCAGGCAATTTACTTTCCTCATTTAGGCTAATTTACCTTGGATAAAGCTAAGAAACACAAATTCACATTTCTCATAAATATCCCTTATGAGACATTAGATAAAGCTGGTACTTACTTTTCCAAGGTTAAACAAAGTCATGAGAACTTGTGACCTGTTTCCTATTACATAACATGGGAATTTCACATAACCACCCCAAGAGTGGAATGACAAGGCTGAAGCTGCCCATGAAAAGAGGCCTAGGGTCATATCAATTCAGATTATCAAACTGAATGACACCAAGCGGCAAGTCTAAAACCTCTGGCATCTCTAATTAGTGCAAGCTATTTTTGACAAGGTTAGGGAAAGTGAAGAGAGGGATGATGGTCAAAATAAACTGCATGGCACCAAAGTCCCACAAAACATCCAAGGGGCGTCTAAGTTATGACCGCAACAATAAAGTGAATTCACTCTTAATAGAAGCCATGTTCTGGAGCATCCTCGATCGAATCTCATTTAGAACATCTTCCAGAAAAGTAACATTTCCTCTTCGAGTCTTCATTCCCTGTACCACTCCAAAGGGCACGTGCTGGCACCTGAAATGGAAGAGAAAAGAACAGATGATCCAAGTATATAATTATACACTTTCAGAGAACAGTCCAAACTTCAACTCTCATATAAGGACTTTTCAAAATTAACAAATAGGATGTGGGGGTGCCTGGGTGGCTCAGTGGGTTAAAGCCTCTGCCTTCAGCTCAGATCATGATGTCGGGGTCCTGGGATCGAGCCCCGCATCAGGCTCTCTGCTCGGCGGGGAGCCTGCTTCCTCCTCTCTCTCTCTGCCTGCCTCTCTGCCTACCTGTGATCTCTGTCAAATAAATAAATAAAATCTTTAAAAATAAATAAATAAATAGGATGCGATTTATCATATGCCACAAAAGATGTTAAACACACAGCTTCATTTTATAGAGATAATCACTAAGAGCTGATTAAATTACTAGTTGTCTTGGTGGATAAAAACGAGGGATTAAGAATTTTGGAAATCAAGCCACTGAGAGCAGATGTCTAATAAAGATATTTATTAAATGTTTATAAGTTAGAAATGAATATAACCAGGACATAAATTAATGTAAAAAAAAAATCTGCTTCTACACTAATACCCTGAAATAAAGAAGTGAAATCTGAATGATGACCTTCAACAACTTGGTATATTTTGGGACTTGGCTGACCTAACAAATCCTTAACGATCGTGAGCAGACAGTTACAAACCATGCGGACATTACCTTTCTGCCCAGTCATATCCCATGATCTGCAGCATCTGGAACACTTGCTGAAAATGCTTTTTTTGCCCTTTATCTGTCTTGGGGAAAAAAAAATTTAAGTGACAAGTTAACCTACAAAAATAGGTGGGGATTAAATAAAAATATTTGAGTTTTGACACACTAGATTCATTGTCCACTGATGTATTTTAAGTAAGTACACAAAGAAGATGCCAGCAGCAGAAGGTCTAAACTGAGTGCTCTACAAGAGAAGAAAGTAAGATCTGTAGCACTTCACTGAATTATGAGGGAAGATGAACTTTAATCTCTTGAGTATTCTATTTAAATTCTTTCTCCTTCAGCTATCATGACCTTTATCCCCAAGAAGGATGAAGCTCAGCTCTAATAAGTTATTTAATGGCAACTTTTTTTCTTAGGGGAAAGGGAGGTGGCACCTGGAGAGGAAGGAAAGGGAAGAGACCACAGAGTAACCCTCAGCAATAAAAGAACAAACTAGTGGTGCACACAACAGCCTGGGTGGGTCTCAAGGCATTCACTATGCTGAGTGAGAAGAGCCAATCTCAAGATTACCTACTGTGATTCTATTTATGTAACATTTTCATAGTGTCAACACTGTTGTGATGGAGAACAGAGCAATGGTTGCTAGGGGTTACGGTAGGGGATAAAGGGCAATTATTAAGTGGTCACCAAGAGGGAGTTTATTTCATGATGGAACAGTTGTCTATTCCGAATGTTATGATGGTTACATTATCTACACATGACACAATTTCACAACCCCCACCCCAACATATTAGGCCAACACATAAGCACATGTAAAACTTGGTGGAATTTTTTAAAAGATTTTTCTTATTTATTTTAGAGATGGGGAGAGAGAGTGTGCGCAAGCGGGGTGAGGGGCAAAGGGAAAGAGTGGGAAAGAAGCAGCAGAGCCCGATGTGGGGCCCAATCTCAGGACCCTGAGATCATGACCTGAGCCAAAATCAAGAGTCAGATGCTTAACTGACTGAGCCACCCAGGTGCACCCAAACTGGTGGAATTTAACTAAGGTCTTTACCAATGTCAGTTTCCTGGTAAAGACAAAGTACTATGGTTATGGAAGATACTATCTTCGGAGAAGGCTTGGGTGAAGGGTCCATGGAAACTCTGTACTATTCTAAAACTCACGAGGCTTAAATATTTAAAATAAAAAGTTGGGGCACCTGGGTGGCTCAGTCCTTAAGTGTATGCCTTCGGCTCAGGTCATGATCCTGGGGTCCTGGGATTGAGCTGTGATTGAGGCTCCCTGCTCAGGGGAAGCCTGCTTCTCCCTCTCCACTCCCCCTGCTTACGTCCCTCTCTCGCTATGTCTCTCTGTCAAATAAATAAATAAAATCTTTAAAAAATAAAGTTACTTTTTATTTTTATTTATTTATTTATTTTTTAAAGATTTTATTTATCTATTTGTCAGAGAGAGAGAGGGAGAGAGAGCAAGCACAGGCAGACAGAATGGCAGGCAGAGGCAGAGGAAGAAGCAGGCTCCCTGATGAGCAAGGAGCCCGATGTGGGGCTCGATCCCAGGACGCTGGGATCATGACCCGAGCCGAAGGCAGCTGCTTAACCAACTGAGCCACCCAGGCGTCCCTAAAGTTACTTTTTAAAAAGTACATTATGGTAACCTGTACATATTCATTTCATATAACCATTTTCCTGATTTGAGTAATTTTTTTTTTTAATCATGAAGCAATGTGAATGTTTTCACTTTTGTTTTTAACATAGTGGTTTCCACCTTAAATAAACTTAACAGTGAATTCCTTTTATATTTTGACAAAATTATTTTCCAAAGTTTTTCAACATGGTATATAATTTCCATCTTTGCAGTTTTCATGAGGTAGAGATCATAATCTTCTGTTTTTTATTGTGATTACTTACCACATAAATCATTGCATCAAAATTGTACTTGTCCATTCGATCTATAGCAGCAGCAAGATCTCTGAAAAAAAAAATGGCCATAGATTAAGAGTTACTAAGCAGATCTGGGTAAAAATTTGCTTTAACTATTTAATATTAATGAGGCTTTTCTAATTAAGAAGTCCTACTATCCCATGCCTAAGGTATACGACCCATGATTACATAATCCCAATACCATACTTTGATATAAAGTAATAGTAGTAAAAATAGCTTGGGGAAAAGCAATAATAAAAGTACTGTGGAAAGATTAAAAAAATAAATAAATAAATATAAGCTCTGGGAGTGGTAGTACTAACTAAAATAACTCCAGGCAAAGTACCTGTAGGTAAATGCTTAATGATTTGTTAATTAAGCCTCTACTGGAAAGAATTACCTAAGTGTCACTTTTCTGCAGTATGCTTTTTAAAAAAAATTCTATTTATTTATTCATGAGAGACAAAGAGAGATAGAAAGAGAGACAGAGAGAGGCAGAGGCAGAGGGAGAAGCATTCTCCCCAAGGAGCAGAGAGCCCGATGCAGGGCTTGATCCCAGGACCCTGGGATCATGACCTGAGCTGAAGGCAGAGGCTTTAACCCACTGAGCCACCCAGGCACCCTGCAGCAAAACTTTTTTTTTTAAGAAAAAAATTTTTTAAGGTTTTATTTATTCATTTAACAGAGAGGGAGAGTACAAGCAGGGAGAGCAGCAGGCAGAGTGGGAGGGAGAAGCAAGCTCTCTGCTGAGCCAGGAGCCAGATGTGGGACTCGATCCCAGGACCCTAGGATCACGACCTGAACCGAAGGCAGCCGCTCAACAAACTGAACCACCCAGGCGTCCCTGCAGTACACTTTCTTAAAGAACATATTCAAGGGGGGACGCCTGGGTGGCTCAGTTGGCTAAGCAGCTGCCTTCGGCTCAGGTCATGATCCCAGCGTCCTGGGATTGAGTCCCATATTGGGCTCCTTGCTCGGCGGGGAGCCTGCTTCTCCCTCTGTCTCTGTCTGCCTCTCTGCCTACTTGTGATCTCTCTCTCTGACAAATAAATAAAATCTAAAAAAAAAAAGAACATATTCAAGGGGCGCCTGGGTGGGTTCACTCGTTAAGTGTCTGCCTTCAGCTCAGGTCATGATCCTAGCCAGGGTCCTGGGATCATCGGGCTCTCTGCTCTGCTGGAAGCCTGCTTCTGCCTCTCCCACTCCCCCTGCCTGTGTTCCCTCTCTCACTATACCTCTCTCTGTCAAATTAATAAATAAAATCTTTTTAAAAAAGAACATATTCAGAACACAAATAATGTGGCAGCTATACTACTATCTTTTAGCTACCCTTCTGTTAATACTATGAAGGACTTTCAAGGTCTCCAATCAGTCATAAGCAATACCTTCTAAAGCAATGTGAAAGACCATAAAGTCCTTTGACAAAAACTCAACCCTTCTTTCTCTAAGTATGAAAGACTCAGTTTGCATCTAGTATGAAATAATGAAAAAACAAGTCATAAACTATGAAATTTCAAGTCGACTATGAGAATACTGAAATTTAAAATGAAAACTATTTCTGGTTAACAATATAACATTGGGAAGACTTAAAAAGTTCTCAGATCTTTTGAAGTGTTGGGGATCATCAAAATGTCTTTAGTTCCCACCTTGTAATTCTGATATAACATAGAGCAATGCATTAGCAACAGAGACAAAAACTGGCTGTTGAGGAACAACAAAATCTTACCTTTTTATTTTTTTTAAGATTTATTTATTTTGAGAGAGAGAGAGCGAATACGTGCAAGTGGCACGTGGGTGGGCAGAAGGACTGGGAGTATGTCTCTTGAGCAGACTCTGCACTGACTGCAGAGCCAATTCAGGGCTCAATCTCACAACCCTGAGATCACAACCTGAGCCAAAACCAAGAGTCAAATGCTTAACTGACTGTGCCACCCAGGCACCCCCAAATCTTATTCTTTTTACATATAAAGCACATACATGCATGCTATATCACAGATATATAGGGTATCTGTAATAAAATTTCATGAGGTGGGGAAGTAGGAAAATTGGCTAAAAAGGCTCCTGAGAGCAGGGCTATAATGAAAAAAAGGAAAAAAAGGTTGTGAAACACCAGTATAGATTATCTCCCAGATGAAACCACAAATATATACCCCTATTGGATTTTTGGTTTGAGCCAAGGAAAAAACAAAGAGAAGCCTTTTTGATCCAATGAAAAAAAAAAAAAGAATACACGAAAAAGCTTTAAGCTGAGTCTGTAGAACCTGAATTTGAAAGCAGGAAGGAATGCCAGGTCATTTAGTTCATGCCTCTTGTTCCAAAGTAGGAACCCATGGCTCAGGGAGGGTAAGTGGTAGTTGTGGTCTTAAGACAAAACTCTAGATCTCCAGCCTCATCCCGAGCTCTTGTCAATATTCTCCCGCACTTCTGTCTATTCTAACAAACTCCTATAATTCACATCCACATATATAGCTGCATTCTATAAGGAACCCACTGATAAGCACAGAAACTAAAGTTAGAGATGAAAAATCAAACATTTCAACAAGTGGCAAAAAACACAATTATTCTCCCAAAGAGAAAAGACAGTATAGGTATTAAGATAAATACACAGAAAAATCTAGACCTAATGAAGGCTAGCCCAAAAAAGATAACTAAATCAGGACAGCTATAATCATTATGACATGGAGTGTCTCATCTGAGTGGAAACATTTCTTAAAGCCATTGCTCAAGGATTTCTTTAGGTAATCTGTCCAGCAATAACTGGCTGGCACAAAATATTTTTCTACTATTATTTTTTAATCTACAAAAAGAAATGTACTTCTTACATACATGGGTTCTTCTTACTTCCTAACTCCACCTGTATGGAACTGATGAAGGGAAATGTAGAAAAAGTAACAAAGTAAGGGATCAATTTTCTAAGGCAATCAGAGAGTTGTATAAAGCTGTCTGGAACAAATGGCAGTAGTTAATAAGAGCAGTCAATATCATTTCTTTAACTATGCTGTGAAAGTGGGTTTATGATCCAATATAAAACTCCAGCCTGGAAGACACCATAGCCTTCTGCCAGAAGAGCCTGAGTATGGCCGTGCTGCTTGTGTGCCTTTTTTATGGTCCTATCTTCTTCCTATTGGCTTTGTCCCAGATATAAGTGTGCTTGATAAATCCAATCTTACTGATTAACAGAGACTGTTCCTTTCCACATGGCCTACTTCTCCCTTGGCCTATTTTACCACTGTCAGAATGAGGACTAATATTTAAGGCGGTCTTAACAGAGTGAGGACACCACTGAGCCACTATGACCACCTTCTAGTATACATTTCCTGCCAATGTGCAACTGGAAAATATTTATAGTTAATTATAAGGTATCTCAGTTTTACAGTTTGTAGAACAATGTATTCAACTGTGGAAATCCTATGATGTTTAACTAATTGTAAATAGTTTCTTCAGTCACTTTCCTGACGGTATCAAAACTTTCCAGGAACTATAACTGGCAATAAATAGAAATCCAATAAATATTTTTTGAAGTGATGATAGCAAGAGATTTAGAAACTAGGATTTAATAACAGCTTTGAGGATAAAATGATTGTTTTAGCACTGACGCTACAATAAAGAACATGAAGCCATATGCATTCTGATGTTGAGCTCCACGTTAGTTACAAACCTGGTTGCGTAGAGAGAAGTCCCATCACTCCGCATTACGGTACAGATTGAGGAGGGGTCACCATTCCCAGAAAGATCCACTATAGCTGTTCCTCGTCTAAAAATATGAAAAGGTAACTCTGAAGAAACAATAAATTAAGACCTTTAAAAGTACAGTATCTATAACATTATCTTTGGCAAACCAGAAGCTATTTTTTATAACTTAAGTAACAACAAGCAGTATAACCAACAATGAAGAAAAACAAGAAGGAATCTAACCATGAGTCTATTAGGATTGGGTAGGTACGATGTCATTAATTTTTGGTTATCCTACCTTTCTAAACTCTGTAGCTCTGCATAGGGCACTTAGGTAAGTCTTTAACATCCCCAGTTGAAAAATGAGATTTCAACCGCAGTTTAACCATGAAACATATTCTTCTAGTTCAAATTACAGAGTTAAATACTGGGTTAATTTTTAACATGCCAAAAAATACTTGCATAATAAACCACGGAATTTTGTTACTGTCATCCCTATCTTATCAAAAATTAGAATCTGTATATGGCAAGCTAAGAATCTGCCTTAACAGACATTACTGAGGGTGTTATGAACCACATCATCCATTACTTCCTCATAAAGATGATGAGACAAAGTACTCTCTGGTACTATGAAAACTGGCACTTCTAAGCAACTGGTTTGCTTTTTTTACAGATGCCTGGGCGCCTATGACCAGTACTATTTCTTTTTGTTTGGCTGACAGGAAGCTCAAAGTTCAATTAGAAATTTTCTTCAGTAAGGAAACAGCATCCCAATATGTGTTATATGACATGCCATTATCATTCCTGATTCCCTATTAGTTTTTCTGCCCCTGCTTCCGGATTTCCTCATTTTACTCTTTCAAAAGTTTGTGTTCTACCTATTTAGATAAGGTGCCTTAAATCCATTCTGAACACAGTATTTTTTTTTTTTAATAAAACGCAGGGTTGAGTAAGTTCCTTTTTCCAGTTATATCATGATCAGCTTGTGTGACAGGAGGCCAGTTGCTTGTACTTTCTGTGCTTCAGTTTCTGCACATGTGAAGAGCAGGTAACAGCTTTTCTTCCTGCCTACCAGGATTTTGTCATGGCAGCAGCAGACTATATGTAGAAAAGTACTTTGAACAGCAAAAAGCACTATAAAAAAATGCCAGGAAGGTTGCATGCCACATTCTATTGTCCTGAAAGACTATACCAATACCAATTTTTTTCAAAGAAGAAATAACTTTACTAAAGAATAGTAACCCAACCATACACTGTTTTCTGTAGGAGTCCTTTACTGTCCAGCAACTTCAAGACTTCTTGAGATTTTTCACGATAAAATGATTCTCCAGAGTATTCATCAAAGTGTACTCCTAGACGCTAAAAGGGTTCAGAAACAAAAGAAAGTTACTTAAATGTCCTATTACCTTGCCCTCAGATAAAATGGGCTACTCTACAGTCTGTTACACAGATGGGGAAAACAAGAAATTAGATAAAGATCAGGTCACTCTTCACCATCAAACCTTCTAATAACTCCTCCTACATCAGTCAAGTCCTACAATAGTAATGGGCTATCTGATATGGCAGCTACGAGGCCCATGTGGGTATTCAAATTAAATAAAATTGAAAATTTAGTCTCTTAGTAACACTATTCACGCTTCACGTGCCCGAGAGCCACCCAAGGCTAGTGGCGTGCTGGACAGCACATCACAGAACATCTCCATCGCAGCAAGAAGCTAGATGGACAGCCCTGGAGAATGTCCCACACCATGCCCCACACTACAACCTCTTTAAGCTCCTCTCCTTCTGCTCTTTGCCCTGCTTCCTTACTCCAGCTGTATGGGTTTCTTTAATTCAATTCTTTTCATTCCACCCACAGACAGCGTACTCTGCCTCCCCTTCCCTGCTTCATTTTTCTCCATAGCATCATTCCCACCTAACAGACTGAGTATGTTGCTCAATTTCCATTGTCTTTAATTTGGTTAATTTGCTGTCTCCATGCTGGACCATAAAGTCCATGGCAGAAAGACTTGTATTTTCTTTATTCGCTGTTTATTTTTCCCACCCCCTAAAATGTTTATTAAATGCATCACATACAGCCCTAAGGAAGTGAAAGGGGAAAAAAACGATTAAGAAAAAGTGAGGGAATGAACAGAAGAGAGAAAAGAGAAGCCAGACTGAAACAAATACCAGAAGCCACCTGGTGTTTGCCTGTGAAGTTCACAGGATTTTTTTTTTTTTTTGAGGTTCTAAATTCCAGCCCAAAGAACAGTATTTGAATCCCAATTTGCAACTGAATGACAAATCTAGTTTTAAAACACAAGCTTTAAAAGTAAGTTTATACAGCCCCCGGCTGGCTCAGGCAGTAGAGCAGATGGCTCTTGATCTTAGGGTCCTGAGTTCAAGCCCCATGTTGGCTGTGGAGCCTATTTAAAAAAAAAAAAAAGGAAGCAACTTCACTACTCGATAGTACCGTCAAGAGCTGCACCCCATCACAGGAGAGCAGGAGAGCAGGAGAGCAGGGAGGCACCTTGTAAATCCGCATGTATTCTTCTACGCTGAGGTCCCAAAATTTCTGCCACAGTGCAAGTGCTTGCGTGTCACCCAGTTCTAATCGCTGGAAGAACTCATGTGCAGATTTTGCTATATTTTTATCATCTGCTGCTTCTTTATTAACTTGTACATAAACCTAAAAGCACAACAGTACATTAAATGAAGTACATTAGTCACTGTTACCTTCAATGGAAAAAAACAAAACACAGTCCTGAGAATTTTCATTTAAAGGTTAGCCAACTGCCCTCGTCAGATTGTAACCTTTCTTTATTCTTTTGCCATGGTCCTTTACTGAACCCTATAGACCCCTTCTCAAAATGTTCCTAAATGCATAAAGTAAAATATATATGCTTATAAAGGAAATAATACACTAAAATAGTTATCTCATTATTATTTTTTTTAAATTGTGATGAAATAATGGAAGAAAATGCTAATACCTGATCAAAGTTAGGGAAAATAAAATGCTTAATTTTTTTCTTCCCTTCCAAGTTCACAGATGCCTGGGTTAGATTAAGTTAGCATTTTTTTTTTTTTAAAGATTTTATTTATTTATTTGACAGAGAGAGAGATCACAAGTAGGCAGAGAGGCATGCAGAGAGAGAGGAGGATGCAGGCTCCCCGCTGAGCAGAGAGCCTGATGCGGGCCTCGATCCAAGGACCCTGGGATCATGACCTGAGCCAAAGGCAGAGGCTTTAACCTACTGAGCCACCCAGGCGCCCTGCATTTCTTCTTTTTTTAACAAAAAAGTCAAATTATTATTGCTGCAACTTATCTGAGAAAAGGTCAAAGAAAGCAGAATGGTTCAATCTGGCTAAGACAAGGCCAAAGATTGATCCAGCAGTTGTTTTAAGAAAGATTTTTAGAACTGTTCTCTAAATCTGCAAGAATAACAAAATAGGTGATCTAGTCAGACCTTTGGATAGTTGGCTTACTTACACTCCCACTTGGGCTCCTGAGAGCTATGTGGACCACTTACTTCTGGAGTATTTTTGCATCTGTCTTGGCTGGTTTAGTTCTGCCCCCACCCAATGACAGGAATGGAGTTGGACTGCTTATTAAGGGCTCTTCCAATTCTATGATTCTGTGTTCACAATTTAGTTAAAAGTATTCCAGTCTCCAAAATGCAAGTTTATAAATGATATTGAAACATCAACTTTGCACCTCAAGTAGTACTGAAGTTACACATATAGACTGTAAAGATTTTACTTCTGGGGGCGCCTGGGTGGCTCAGCTGGTTAAGGATCCAACTCTTAATTTCGGCTCAGGTGGTGGTCTCAGGGTTGTCAGATGGAGCCCTGAGTCAGGCTCTGCGCTAGGTGTGGAGCCTGCTTAAGATTGTCTCTCCCCCTCCCTTCCCCTCTCTCTCCTCCTCTCAAAAAAAAACAAAAGATTTTACTTACAGGATAAAACATGAATGATAAATTTACTCTCCTTATATTTTTTTTCCAGAAAGCTATTAAAGTAGCACAAAAGTAATAAAAATTGGCAAATAAATTACCAAAGAAACATGAGGCATCTAAACTATTACAGTAATATCATCAAAATATCAATGGCAGATAAAATGATTTTATTGCTGGAGAGAACAATGGGACAACTGTAATGTGGTTTATACCCACCAGATACTACCAACAAAAGAACAGGAGATTAAACATTTATGTCAGGGTCAAATGCCTTACTTTTCATTAGATGGCTTGTGTTAATTACTGGAATGGCAGAGATTAATAAATATTCCCTCCAAAAGTTAAAACTACCTCCTTTTTTTTCCTCTTTAAAGCACCTTGTGCAGAAAGAGTTAATATATAGCAGACCCGAGACTGCTATCCTTAAAATGTCCTGTTTGCAAGGTTAGCCCTTGGCTGGCATCTGGGAACTTGGATTTGGGAAATGTTTCCACCGAGCAGGTCACTGTGCTTAAACTATGAAAACAATACAGTTTATGCTAAACACTTGCTTTGCTTCTGGGAGTTTGGCATTTTAGAACATGCTAAGCAGAGGGTGCCTACATGATCAAACTCCAATAGAAACTTGGGGCACGGAGCATCTGATGAGCTTCCCTGGCAGACAACATTTCATGCATATTGTCGCAGTTTGTTGCAGGAGGACCTGCGTGTATCCTATGTGACTCCACTAGGAAAAGACTCTCAGATGCTTGGACCTGGTTTCCAACAGACTTTACCACATGTGCCTTTCCCTTTACTGATGTTGCTTTGCAACCTTTTGCTGTAATAAATCATAGCTGTGAGTACAACTATACGTGTAGTCCTGTGAGTCCTCTTAATGAGTTACCAAACTTGGTGGTGGTCTTCGGAGACCAGACACACATATCATAGGAAATTAATTTCCATGTGCTCCCATGAAATAAGTCCAGAATAAGAACAGAAGATGATTTTGGCAAGGTGTGGAAAAACAGAGTCACTGTAAGATAGTGAACTGCAAACCTCTTGACTTTTGAATGACCTATCTACCTAGTGACACCTGTTCAACACTTCAGCCTATAGGAACAAAGGCATACATAGGTCTCTATGATTTGTGGTTCAAAATCTCTCTCACACACCCACCCACCCACCCACCACACACCCATGTTCATACACCATTTAAAAGCAAACATATATAAAATATCCTTATTTTCAGAAATGGCTTTTTTTCTTTTAAATCTAGGACTCTACACTCATAGCCAACATTTAAAAATCGAATATGCATGTGAACTACTGATAAGAGTATTTTTAGAAAAAAACTTTACCAGAGTCTCTTCCCTTTCTTAAAACTTAAAATAGAAATCATTAAAACAAAATAAACAAAACCAAACCCTCACTTATACTTGAGGAATCTTGGCATTTCAGCAATTTGCAGTTATAAACCAAACATTACTGAAAATCAACTGACACTATCAAGCAGAACAATAGAAGACCCTTAATTAGCACTTAACAATCTGCCTGTAAATGCACAATATAAAACTGTAATTATTAACATTCATCACCATTTTAGAAAGAAAATGCATTTTCCTTCACAAGATAAATTTAATACTACATATTTCTGAAGTTACAGACAGTTTTAAATTTAGTTACCACAAGCTTTTTAGGCTTAGAATGTATGCATTAAAAAAAAATGTATGTATTTTCAAGATAGCTTCCTTTTGAGGCTAGGTATAAACACAAAAGGAATAAAAAGGAAATTTCAAATTTGGATCTAATAATAAGAATGTGGCTTAGGCAAAATGTTCTTGAGGATGGAAATAATTTTTTAGTTACCAGAATGCAAAAATGAGCTCTATTTCCTTTATAGAATTAACTATTTAAGACTTTAAAGGAATAATACCCTTTTCACTATTTCTAGATGCTGGTATTCCCAAAAAGCACATGACATTTTATTTCTAATTTAACTGATTAAGATAACTATAGTCAGCTCTTGAGAAAATCTGTCCATATGTAAAGATATAAGTGCAAAAAATAAAATAGCATATAATATCCTTTAATGTCTTAAATTTGATTCCAGAATACCATTATCAACACAGACACAGTTTATTCTTTGGTACAGGGCTCTAACCCTAACCCTGATTATTTTTGTTTAAAACAAAGAATAACTGCTAAGAATGGTTAGCATTAATTAGACTCTAAACAGGTCTAAAGACACTGTTAACTGTGTATTTGTCCTCTACCTTAAAATGCATTTAATTTCTATCTCATTTTTTAGGAAAAAAAAAATGAATTCATGATTATAACTAAAACAAGCTCTTTGTTAGTTTAATGCTGCTTCTTGATGAGAAATTTCTTATAGAACTGTGTTAAACTAAATATTAAAGAAATTCAAACAAATAATAGTTATAATTTAAAAGATCAATATATCAGTTAATAATAAAATCAAAACTTGCTAGATTTAAAAAAATAACTTGAAGTGATTATCAAGTTTCTCCTTGTATGTCATTAGTATGTCTCCTTAGTATGTCATTATCAGTATATAATTAGCATTTTACTACCTATTCATCTTCTTTCAATATTTGGAATGTCCTATTTTTATTCTTTGTTTTTATTAATATCCATGACATCTTATCCCTTTATTCAAGGGTGATAACAATTAACTTCTTGTGTTTATTAGGTAATAGTACACAGTATTACACATTTCTCATGCTGAAAAAAAAAGGTTTTTGCACATTTCAACGAGGTGTGATAATTACTGAGCTATTAACATGTACTCTGGCCTTGCTCAGTATTCCCATCCTTGTTCTAACAACACTCTCAGAGGACAATGGACACTGTAGTAACCCTTAGAAGGGTAAGGTTTAGGGATAAAGGCTAGTGGCTTTGGGGAAGATGGTCAAGAGCAATGGTAGAGCAGAAATGCTGCCAGGAAAGAGGAAAGGAGAATTGCCTAGATTGACGAGGGGATGGGGAAACAGCCCCAGGGGAAGGGGGAAAAAAAAAAAAGCTGTTGCTGGGGTGGCAGGGGGCCCTCTGAGGGAAATGGTTTGCAGTATCCCCACACAGGGAGGCTGATCTCTAGGCCTGTAGAATTGGGCCACAGCTAGGATCTCCCAGGCGAAGCTGGTCATATAAGCAGAGCTGTGTGTCTCCAGGTCATTACATAGCCTTGGATACTGGGTATATCAGTGAAGACCACTGTGAACTGAAGACAAGGAAAGGCCTCCATGCCCATCCTGAGATGCACATTAGAGCCTGGGGAACTTTATGATTTGGAGATGAGAAACACTCAACAAAGACTTAAGCTGACTCTTAAAACCACTGTCAAAGTGTGGCTGGGTTCAAATTCAATTAGGCTTATAATTTAGGAGCTATTTCTTTCACGCATTATAATGAGTAAAATACACACCAATGTAACAGTCCCATTCTCTGAAGAAAAGTAACGTGACCTGACCAATAAAGAACTCTTGAATTCAAGTCTATAAAAGTTTCTAACTGCATAAATAATCCCCTATGTCTAGAATTGATTTAGTCTTGAATTATTTTCTTAAGTTTGAGAAACTTTTTTTTTTTTTGAGAATCTAAAGCTAGGAAAAATATGGTCTCTTGACAGACAGATACGATTCCACATTTAAAAAGGTGACAGCAAGTAATTATTATCACTCATGAATTTGGGGTTTTGATCTTGCCCTATTTTCTACACACTTTTTTTTTGCTACT